AAAATTTCCGAAAGTACAAGGGAGCAACCAGTTGTTTTTTTTTTCTTACACACACACGTTCTTATGTTGAAATTGGTTTCTAGGTAAAAATATATGATTTATGTCTCAAAATGTTCTGACTATAATGAGCCTTGAAAACACACATGTAGCTCATTCTAAAAGGAAAATCACACAATTATACTATAAGAAAGCTTTTAAATAAATTTTTAAAAAATCAGGAAATGCTTTAGCTACATGTTAACGATTCTTTGCTACTTTCTGAACCAATAGAATTTTTTTTTTTTAGCAAGAGTTTGCAGAAGAAAGTTTCACCTAGCAATACTATGTATCTTTTATTGAGAAATAAGAGTTGACAAAAGGCGTCCTTGTTTATAAAGACTTCAGTTTTGATAGAATTACAATGACTGCCATTAGGCACTTGACCCAATTTGGTAAAGCAATAGAGACATTTCCTATCATAAAATAGAATAAATTAGATATTAGGATTATGTAAGACAATGAGACATAGCTGAAAAGAATCAAGATAAATTGTTTCTTTTCCGACCAATAGTTTCTGTGTCTACTGGTGTACCGTATTTCAAATATTAGAAGTCCATTAAGTTACTAACTTGCCTTGTATACTAATGCTAAGATATACCTTGTTAAGAATTAAAGAGCAGGGCTTCCCTGGTGGCGCGATGGTTGAGAGTCCGCCTGCCTACGCAGGGTTCGTGCCCCGGTCCGGGTAGATCCCACATGCCGCGGAGCGGCTGGGCCCGTGAGCCATGGCCACTGCGCCTGCGCGTCCGGAGCCTGTGCTCCGCAATGGGAGAGGCCACAACAGTGAGAGGCCCGCGCACCGCAAAAACAAAAAAAAAATCAAGGAGCATGAAGTATTGGCGTAACAAGGAAATAGACTACTTCATATATTTTCAATAACTTTGCCTCATAAAGTCTCATAAACCTTAATATTTACCCCCAAATAGATAACTAGACTATTTTTTTAAGTTTAAAGGGCATTCTAGAACCATAAAAAGTATCCTTTTATAATGTTATAAGTTCATTTTGTAACATTGGAAAAATAGTATCACATTGTGGCCAAATGTTGCTCTGTATTTTATCGGTTTGCTAATAAAAGTAAAATAAAAACTTACATTTTTGAAGAAGCTTTATTGAATGTTGAAATGAATGTCAGAAAAAATAGCTGGTATATGGTCTTTAACAGTTCAGTATGCTCTTTGAATGGCAGAGGTAATTTGTTTAGTGTAATATGACCACATAATGCAAACAGTTTTAACTGACTTGAATCCAGCTAACCTGGGATTTCTGTCAACAAATTTTTAGCTAATTTGACCAGATTATTATGATTTTTAGTAATTTCAGTCAAAAATTACAAACCAGTTGCTTATATAGACTAACTTTTCTTGGTCTTCCTGTTGAACTGAATTAGAGCTGGCTTCAAGTTTTAAAGACTTTCACTTATTTTGGTAATTCATCAGATTGAAGTGCCCACATAACACTGAGCATTTACACTTTACAATTTAGCACGTATAACTTAAGGAGTGTGTAATATTTAGAATTATTTTCCACATCTTAATAATGTTCTAGAATAGCATTATGCCACACTGGAAATATATTTACTAATAATTTTAGAAAATTATATTTTTACTAAAGTAAGTAAAAATAGAACTACCATGTGATCCAGCAATCCCACTCCTGGGTATATGTCCAAATAAAATGAAATCAGTATCTCGAAGAGATACCTGCACCCCCATGTTCATGCAGCATTACTCACAATTGCCAAAATATGGAAACAACGTAAGTGTCCTTCAACAGATGAATGGATAAAGAAAATGTGGTATTTATACACAAGGGAATATTATTCAGCCATAAAAAGAAAGAAATACTACCATTCGTGACAAAATGGATGAATCTGGAGGACCTTATGCTAAGTGAAATAAACCAGACAAAGTCAAAACTATATATGTGGAATCTTAAAAACAAAACGAAACAAAAACAAAGCTGATTTCATAGAAACAGAAAATAGAATGGTAGTTAACATGGGCTGGGAGGGGATGGGGTGATGTACGTCAAAGGGTACACGTTTTCAGTACAAAATGAACAAGTTCTGAGGATCTAATTTACAGCGTGGTGACTATAGCTAATAATACAGTATTGTATACTTAAGGGTGCGGAAAGTAGATATTATGCGTTCTCATCACGTAAATAAGAAAGAGGAAGCTGTGTTAACTACGTGAGGTGATGGCTGCATTAAGTATCTTGAAGTTGGTCATCATTCCACCATGGATATGTGTATCCAATCATCACATTGTACACTTTAAATACATACAATTATATTTGTCAATTATTCCCCGATAAAGTTAAATTTAAAAAATACTTTTTGTTTATTAATGCTTATATATTTATGTTTTAAAGTATGTATATAGCTTTCGCATCCAATATTATGAAATATATAGCATATTTATCACATATTTATCTAGGATAAAATCATAAATATTATGGCTTAGTTTAAATAAGCAAGAAAAGACTACATTGCATGCTAAAGGTGTTTTTCAGTGATGGGTTCTATCCAAAGAAAACAAATTTAAGCTCTATTAGAAATAAATACTTAGGATAAATGAAAGGAAGGGATCTTGAATTACCTTAGCCTCCCCCTCTCAATTTTTTTTTTTTTTTTAACAATAGCATACCTTCCTCTTAGGCTCTAGGTGACCATGTGTCTACTACAGGGTGATCGTGGGTGTTAAACTGTATGTTATATTCTAGATAAAGAAAATAGTGCGCTAACACATAACAGATGCTCAATCAATGGCTGATATTTTTAATGTCGATGGGGATGTCCCTACACTTAAGAGCATAGAGTCTACTGTGACAGTGCTAATGACAACAGTTTCTAGTAACAAGGAAATAAAATAGAAAAGGTAATCCCTGTGATAACTAGAAAACGTTTTCACTTTTAAATTTTAGTTATATTCTGAAAGTCTTTCTAAGCAATAATGGACTAAAATTCCATCACAAAGAGACAAGCTAAATGTCTCCTTATAGACAGAACAATCGTTCAATCAGTGAATAAATAATGTTCCATTTCTATATCAATCTGCTACTTTCACAATTATTAACTTCCTTCTAAAAATAATTTCAAGCCTAAATTTAAACCTAACCTGTTTTTCCCATCATATAAGAATACTTATTGCTTTAATTCCATAATTAAGTCCCCTATATAAAGTTTTACTTTTTATACAAGTTAGACATTTTTGTGGCCTCATAGAAAAGAGGTTTGGTTTTATTCCCTCCAAAGGTGATGATCATGTGTGTTTGCATTTGCATTAGTCAAATGAAATGCTTATAGCATAACATTTAAGAATTGCTTAATAGAGATGTTATTTAAAGATGTATAGATGTGTGAGAGGTATTGTTACTTAATTAGCATCCCCCAATCGGTCTAATTTTCAGTCTAAGCTCACATTTCTTTCATAGATCTGGAGTCCCTTGCGATTCACGTTTGCACACAAATCCGTGTTCTCTGTGATGGAAGGATAGAGTTGTGCTTATTTTGACAATAAGAGATCGTGAAATCGATGCAACGTTGGAATAAAAATAGGAGAGTAAGAATCAACAATTTCCACTGTGTTAAACTCATACAAATGGAACAAAATATGGTGGCTTCGAAAACGTTTCCTGACAAAGTCCAATACATCTGACCAGCATGTTATAAAAATGTTGAAGCAAAGTACTTCGTTTTCAGCGAATATCCTTTGGGGGAGAATAGATTGGCGGGGGCTATTTTGTCCTATTTTGCATGTTAAGTAGAAAACATTTGGCTCAGAAGTTCTTTTAATCACATTTTTACTACCATACTAAATACCTTGTCTCAGGTAATAATATGCAATTCCGTTTTCACTTTGCCCCTGTCTTCCTACGCATCTATTTCGGCGGAACTGATGTGAAGTCAATTTCATCTCGCGCTCTTAGAGATGAGGCCTTGGCAGTTCTAACGAGGGAGAGGAGCCATGCCCCAGCCTATGGGAACAAAGGCCTTGAAAACCCCCTACCTGCAAAGCCCCACGTTATGGGCTGGGACCACAGCCCCGGCTGAAATCTTCAAACGAAAGAGGGTTAGGTGTGAAGTCTGGAGGAATAAGCTATACGTTCATTCTATTCTTCTGAACAGCACTGGCCCACTTACAGTTTATTTCTGAATAGCCTATCAGCAAAGGCATACTAAGCAAGTCAAAGGACTAAGTTTTTGTTTTTTTTTTTTAAACGACGTCTTTAGAGGTCGGGTTACAAAGAGAGTGTCCATTTAAATATTGTCTTTGTTCAAGGGCTGCATGGACTGTGCAGCCCAGTGGTCCTTGCAGAGGTTTTGAAGACAATGATAAGCAACGATAACCTGACTGCGGCATAAATCATCCTGGCAGAGTCGTTAGAACAGTGAAGATCTGCAAAAGCAAGGGTGCGGCTTCATTCTCTCAGGGACAGGGCACTGAAGGAGACCGGAAAGATCGTTTCCTGTTGCTACATTTTTGCAGAGGCCCGGACTGCTTTGGGGGGTCCAAGAAGACCATCAGCGAGCCTTACCCGTGTCCGCGGGAGTCCCCGGCTCTCCCCGAGCCCGCTGGCCCGCAGCCCGCGGTAGGGAGGCTCCAGCGCCCGTAGGTGGCGCCCCACGTCCGTGCTTGCGCTTCTCGTCCGCGCTGGGGGCGCAGCTCGGAAACCCGGCGCGCGTCCCCGGGGGGTTAGAGCTTAGAGCAGGCATTTTAATAACTAAGCGCTCGAGTGTCAGCGCGCCCCACCAGCCCCCCAGGTTCAGAGGAGCAGAAGCAGAAACCCAGGCGGAGGCGCCCCTCTAATCCCTGCCCAAACCTGGCATTTCCCAAACTGGAGGTCCCGGAACCCCAGCTTTCACATCACTAAGATCCCAAGATTTTTCTCTTCATCCCAGTCCTCGCTGTTCTTTTTTTTTTTTTTTTAAGAAAACTGCTTTCCCCACTAATTATGAAAGTGATCACGCTATTCAGGAGTAAGACTTGGGGGGAATTTGGAAAAGAAAAGAAAGAATCGAGAAGAGGCGCGACCGGCGCTCTTGAGGTCGCCTAATTTCTGCAAGAGAGGCGTCTGGGAGGATTTCGCACCGGGTGTTCGGGTGAGAGCGGGACCGGGGCGGTGCGGGGCGCGCGCCGAGTCCTCAGGGCGTCCGCGGCGCTCGGCGGTGCGGTCCGGAGGCCGGGACCGAGGGGGGGGGGGGCGGCGGAGAGAGGCAGCAGCAGGCGCGAGGGCCCCTCCGAGGCTGCGGGCCCGGGTGCGGTGCAGACGCGGGGCGGGACGCGCGGGGCGCGGAACGCGCCGGTGCGGGGCGCGGGCCGGCGCGGGAAAGCGGCAGGGCGGGGCGGCGCGGTTATTGGCCAAACGCCGGGAGAAGGGGTCGCGCTCGGTGTCTCCTCCCGCCAGCTCCCGCTCATCTTCTCCGAGCAGAACAAGTTCACGGACCGTGGTGCTCGCCCATCATGGATGTTCCAGGTAACCCAACCCGGCCCTGCCCTCCGCGATCGGCGCGTTAACTGCATTCGTGCGTCAGTCTCAATGAGGACCATCGCGGGTCTGCGTCTGGGCGGAGAGAGAGCGGGAGAGAACATCGAAATCATTTTGTTCAGGGGCTGAGGAGGGAGGCTTCCCGTCGGGAAACAACTTGTCTCTTCTTATAAGGACTATTTAGGCAGTTGGCTGAGTTGTTCGGAGGCTGCGGGCGGTGAGGGGAGAGGTTTGTTTGCTTTTTGTTTCTCGCCTGGGTATGGGAGACATATGTCTAGTTTAGAGGGGGAAGAAGGGGCCCGGTTACAAGTGCAGACAGGCGCGTAAGTTGGCAGAAAGCTGCAGAGGCTGCCTCCTGGCCGGGAGGAGAAGAACCCGGAGTCCGGAAACAAAAGCTGCACGATAAGCCAAGCTCGGGGTTCCCACCGCTGGAATCCTCTGGTCCTGCGCCAGAGAGAGGGATCCGAGGGGCTTCTCCAAAGGGGCTCGCTGCTGGCAGGGGGGGCGCTGGAAGTGGATGTTCGGTTTTAGGATTTTTCTCTCTCTTCTTTTCTGGTTTTTGTTTTTCCTCTTACTCTTATTCGCCCGAAGGAGCTTCCTGGGGATTTGTTCTTGGGGTGGAAAACGGATAAGATCTTCACTAAATGGATTGCTTTAAGAAAAAAAAAAAAGTCTCTAGGTCGGAGAAATAGAGGATGAATGAAAGTGAAAGCAGAGAAGGGGAAAAGGTTTCTTGGTGTGGCTTTAGAGAAAATGCCTCTGAAATGAAAGCCATTAAGGCTTAGTGGATCTTTTTCTTTGCCTGTGGCTTAAGCCCTCCTTTGCCTTGGGCTGAATGGGCCGGGGTGGCGTTGACCGCGTCTCCGCGGGTGACCGGCCATGTCCTTATGGCCGAGGCCCTGCGGAATTACGGGCCCCTTACCTGACCGCGCCCCCGGCGCGCGCCGCCCGAGAGCCTTCGGGGATGCCCTGGCCAGTGAGCCCCGGCGTTTCTCAGGACCTGTGTGCCAGTCGGGCTCTCCGGGGAGCAGTGCGAGGCACCGAGGGGGTGGTCTCCAGGGAGGGGGCCCGAGCGCCGCAGGGACCTGCTCGCCGCGCCTCCTCCGCACGCAGCTTCACCTCCCTGTCTCAGGGTTTGGGTTCTTTGCCCTGACAGGTCCGCTGGTGCCTTTCTTCTGAGGACGACCCCGGCCTTGACCATCGGCGCAGGGGACCGAGGCCAGAGGAGGCTACTCACGGCCCCGCGCGTTCCCGCGCGCCCTCCCGCCCTCGCCGCGCCCCCGCGCGCCGCCCCCCGCAGCCCGGATGCCGGCGCCCGGCCGGGGCCCCCGCGGGCCGCCGCTGACCATGCCTGGGCGCCGGGGGGCGCTGCGCGAGCCGGCCGCCTGCGGCTCCAGCCTGGGGGCGGCGCTGGCCCTGCTGCTGCTGCTGCTGCCCGCCGGCTGCCCCGTGCGGGCTCAGAATGACACGGAGCCCATCGTGCTGGAGGGCAAGTGCCTGGTGGTGTGCGACTCCAGCCCGTCGGCGGACGGCGCCGTCACCTCCTCCCTGGGCATCTCCGTGCGCTCCGGCAGCGCCAAGGTGGCCTTCTCCGCCACGCGGAGCACCAACCACGAGCCGTCCGAGATGAGCAACCGCACCATGACCATCTACTTCGACCAGGTCAGCCGGCCGGCCTGCCCCTCGCCTCCCGCCCGGGGTGGGGAGGGCGGGGGGCCTGGGGGGTCGCCGGCTTCCGGGACGTGGAGTTCCAGGCTCTCCCCTCCTCTCTGCCCTTTCTCCCTTCTCCAGCAAGCTCTCCTTTTCACACTGTAGCTTTTTTAGAACTAATCAGCTCAGTTGGCACTGGGGTGACTGAGAGTCCTGTAAAGCTAAGCGTCCCGGAGAGCCAAGAGAGCTGAAATAGATTTCCCGAAAGGACAGTGAACGTTTTGCTTTTCGCTGGGATGGGGGCCGTCCTTTGTGGTGGATGGCCTTCTGTCACCCCACTGGCCACTTGGGGACCGAGCGCATTTAAACTCTCCCCGCTCAGCCCGCAGGTTCTCCGAAGGTCTCAGCCAAGGCTCCGAAAATGTGTACCTACTGCTTATTTTGGAAAGGACTGGGGAGAGGATGCTTGTCTTCAGAAAAATAAGGGGGGGAGAGTGGGGGGAGGAAATAGCAGGTATAGTTATAGATAAGCAAAACCAAACCGAGTGTGGTTATATGAATGCAATGTACGGTAAATACAATTATATACAACGTATCATAAGACGCATATCGATGTATATAAAGAAAACACAAAATGAAGAGCCATGACTTAAGTTGCTCCAGCCACTCAACTTCTCCCACTGGCTTCAAAGCAGAAGGGTCTGCATATGATCAGGCTTTGGCAACGCCTTCTCTGGGTTACTGCTGCCCAGGATTAGAGGTCTCCACCTTCCTCTAGTGTCCTCCCTCCCCACCTTGGTTTCTGTTGCTTTTTGGAAACAAACAGGAAACATTAGAGTGGTTTCCAAACTTTACCTCACCATTCCATTCCTTTTGCCAAAGTGCTTCCCACACAGGGAGCTCGGGCTTACTGAGCACACTTGATTGAGTTCCTTTCTCTCTGTTAACCAACTCGCATGCCTGAGTGGTGACACATCTGCACACAGCAAAGCCTCTTCCTAGGCCAGTGTCTTTATTTGCTTTAATCCTTGTTAAGGATTATGTACTTGAAATTTGGGGAGGGGTGTGTACGGGGCGTGTCTCTCTTTAATCTGTTTTTTTTCTTACGAGACATACATGTCTTTAATTTAATTATGTCCAACTAAAGCAGGCAGTGAATTCGTTTTCACAGCATTTTTACATCTGCCCTTTCATTAGGGTGTCAAAAAAAAACCTCTGTGATGTAGGCAGGCTAAGTAGTAGTAGGATTCTAATTTTATAGATGAGCAAACTATGACAGGGCAGATTAAGTGATGCTTCTCTGGTTCCCCAGTTAGGGAGTAAGTGAAACTTGCTTTTCTGGGGCTGGTGGGTGTTCTTCCGTCTACAGCAAGGCCCTGAATTTACCAGTTTCCTGAATTAGAAATGGAGGTGCGAGAGTTGAGGCCGTTGAGTTGGGAGAAGCAGCGCTGAGAGCTCGGAGAGGGAAGGCTTTGTTCTTTTCTCAAGCCTTGTCAGGCAGACAGGAACACAGCCTCGGAGCCACATCCTGAAGCACATCGCCTTTAACGATAGAGCCCGAGTGTCTCTGAGCCCTGCAGTCGAGGGGCTGAAGTACTGCTTGGAGCTCCTTGAAGAAGCTGCTGTGGCGCAGTCCCCAGCCATCCCAGCAGTTGTCAGTGGCACCCTGCCCGTTGCTCTGGGAGCCGTGTGTGATCCATCTGTAATGAGTGTGTACAAAATAACAGCAAAGGGTATGAGGTTGAAATTTATTTTCTGAACAGATGACAGGGTCTCTAATCTAGGATTTTGTTGTTGCTGGCTGTTCATTTTAAAAGCTGAGGACACCAGGCGGGCCATTTTATTATTTTTATTGAGTTGTGCATGTGTGTGTGAGGAGGAATGGGGACAGGTCCAGACAGAGGGGCCATATTCCGCCTTGAATATCTGAAAGGGAATCTGTTCATAATGGGGGGGGGGAACCCTCCACTCTCCAAGTTCTGCTTATGACATCCTGACAGTCTCATCCGTCTTTTACTTGAGAAATAGCACCTGGAGGGTCACATGATTTTGTATCTCGTGGCTCATTTTGTCGTTATTCTCGCACCCTGCGGAGTTCCCACCGTTTGAGCTAAGGGTGTCCGAGCTGCCTTTCCACTCTCCCTTTAGTTGTCCAAGCTTATTTGCCTGACATCATAGCTCAGCTTAGAGAGCAGACACCTCACGTGGAGTAAAGTGAGGGGACATGGGCGCAGCCAGTGTTTATGGAGTGTGGTCTTTCACCCAGCAGCCTTTATTGAGCACCTACTGTGTGCTGCTGGTGGGGAGGGGCATGCCTGGGGCTGGGAAACAGAGAGGAAACCTCACACGGTCGGTCCGTTCTCTCCTAAAGCACACAAAGCTCGTCCCAAGCTTTATCTGACAGAAGTTATCTCACTGAGTTGGCCTCTTACGCCACAGCCCTTTCTCTGCCCATTCAGGATGGAGCTCTGTTTTGGTCCACGCTTCACGTTCAAGTCCCCAGAATCCCACGGACCTCTGAACAGACTCAGTGTGTCTACCGAGCTGATCGTCTTCCCCTGCTTTCTCTCAGCCCTGCCCACAGCAGCCACAATTTGCATCCACGTTTCCAACGCATAAATAAAATATACTCTAAAGCCATCCTTTTGAATTACGATCCATTAGCATCCTTCGGAAATCAATTCCTCGGCAGGACATTGCGCTCCGGGGCTGCTTCCTTCCTGGGGCGGCCTGGGCGCTCTGAGCAGGTGCTGCGGTGGTCCTTCAGCTCCTAAAGGGGCGGGTGGGGGTGATTTTGTGAGTCTGACTGAAACACACGCTGAGGAGGGGCTTGCTCTGTGTGTGCTGTATCCCCTCTTCTTTTCCAGGTCTTAGTAAATATTGGCAACCATTTCGATCTCGCCTCCAGTATATTTGTAGCCCCGAGAAAAGGGATTTATAGCTTCAGCTTCCACGTGGTCAAAGTGTACAACAGACAAACCATCCAGGTGGGTCGCTCTGACAGCTGGTCACTTTTGGCTGTGGGTGAATAGTCACACCGTCTGCGAGGCAGGGAGAACCAGGGCCGGGGGTCACGGGGGCCTGGACACCAGCTGAGTCCTCTGGGTCAGGACCCCGCATGGGTCCAGGTCCATGCCCAGGGTGGGGAGGAGGTGGGGGGGGGGAGATGAGAACAAGTGGATGGGATGGGGTCCATCGTGGTCGGCTGAGCTTTATCCTCTGCCTCGCAGGTCAGTTTAATGCAGAACGGCTACCCGGTGATCTCCGCCTTCGCAGGGGACCAGGACGTCACCAGAGAAGCTGCCAGCAATGGTGTCCTGCTGCTGATGGAAAGGGAGGACAAAGTCCACCTCAAACTGGAGAGGGGCAACCTCATGGGAGGCTGGAAGTACTCCACGTTCTCGGGCTTCTTGGTTTTCCCTCTATGAACGTAGAATCCCCGCCCCGCCCTGCCCCGCCAAGGATGGGGAAGTTGCCACCTGGACGCAGGAGTTCACCCTTCCTAACACCCCGAACTTGCCAGGACAGGACAGCTTGTTTCTAGCCTCCTTCGTCGGACTGTTGTGGTCGAAGCGTGAGCGCCTTCGGAACCTCCGGTGTTTTCTTTGAATGTTGACCATGCCTCTCTGCAACCTGACCTCTAATTAGTTTTAGATGACAGGGTCTGAAGGAGAAATGAAATGACGGATCTGAGCAATCTGTACCTGCGATTGGAAAGTCGATATGGGATGTTATCACTGGGACCACTGACTTCTCTTCTTTTGTTTGTACCTGGTACCGCTGCCCCCGGAATGGCCCGTAGGCTGCAGGCTGGGCTCACAGCGAGAGCCCTGCCAATCACCACCGCCCGACAGTCCTTGAAACGTGTTCTGTGTGTGTCTGTTCAGCCTTAAGAAAAAGAATGGCTTCGCTTTCATGCCGTTTTCCTCCCCACCCCGGGTGGATGGGAGGACGCGGAAGGGGGAAGGGAACATTGTGTTGAGAAGTGCTTTATCCAGAGAAGCAAATTTTGCGCCATTGGACTGCCAGTTTTGTTTTGTATTGTTTGTGTATGTGTGTGTGTGTGTGTGTGTGTGTGTGTGTGTGTGTGTTCTCCCCAAGCAACTACTTTCCTTCCCACACACAGCTCTCCGTCCACACCCCCGCTCTGATCTTTTGTGCTGGGGTGAGGAGAGAAAAATGTGTGTTGAATTCCTGGATGAGACCAAACAAGACAAAACAAAAAATAACTGTGTATTTTGTTTTGGAGGAGGCCAAACCAAACAAAAGGTACCTGTAGAGCAAAGTGAAAATGACAAACGGACATTTCTGCTTATTCTTTCAAAGAGATTCTCGCAGAGGCACTTTTGGAACTAACAACCTGGATTTTTTTTTTTTTTTAAATTCACATTCTGGAATACTTTAAGAGACTGATGTTCCTGGGTGGCCTGAATCATGTCAGATTGGCATGGAAGCTGTGATGACCAAGTCCCCGATCACATGGTTTCTTTGCTGAGCACACCTGGGTCTTCCAGGCAGCATGTTTTTGTTCATCTGGATCCACTTCTGGGTGAGCACACCGTGATCAGGCGCCTCAGAGTCAACGGGACCAACCAGTTCTTCCCCATCAGGATCCTCTTCTGACCCACCAAGTCCAGAGGGTGTTGACACTCCCCTGGGAGCGCCTGGTGGGAAGCCACCTGGAAATCGCAGTGGTTGAAGGTGTCGGCAGAGGTGCCCTAGAAGCAGTTTCCCAAATCCTTGTTGTTTGGCACCTTGTACAACAATATTATTAAAACACAGCTGAGAGTTGATGGGTGCAGGATTCGTACGCCAAGGAAATGGCACTGATCCCAAAGCAATCAAAGAAGAAACCTCAAACCGGATGTTAATTTGTCCTTTGTGTAACAATGTAACCAAAATATTGATGATAAAAAGTCATAATTTAAGATGCAGAATAAATGGGTTTGATGTCTGACTTGGTTTCTCCCTCCACCTCTCCTCCCAACTCTCAAAATGTGTGTAAGGAAAGGCCAAGGATCAAGGGCGTGGGGAAATTAAACCCATACTGTTTACTCTTTAGAAAATACACAGAAAAGCACACAGCGACAGAGGCAGATCTAGCTTTGGGTCCATACGTATATTGCACCCTTAAAAATCTATTTTTCACACAGAAAGATTTGGGGGGAGGTATTATGTGAAAAAGACAGCATTAAAAAGGTTTGATGGAGAGGCAATCTGCTTTTATCCCATTTAATCTTTGATGTAGTACAAGATCCAACCCAATATTTCAGTCAGAGAACACGGATATACAAGAGACTGACCTTTGATGATCGCATCAGGTGTTTCTAAGATGTGTGTGAGGATGGGTTTCATTTTCAAATAAGAAACGCAGTGGGGATTCTACACGTGGAAAAATATCGTTGGGCTACGGGTGTAAGTTTTACTGGCCTTAGGTACACAAGAGGATGCGGAATTTAATTTGAATCAAAATGCTGTTACATTTTGTAAGGGAAAAAAAGTATCAAAAATCATCAACCGAAAAGCATTTGGGATATTTTGGCTCTGTGAGTAGAAGACACACTCCTGGCAAGAGCATTATTTATTAATGCTGGTAACATACACAGCAGGATCATAGCTAAGCTTTTTCTCTATTCTATTGCCCTTAGCTATTTAATCCTCTTTCCCTCATTTCCCCAACCTTATGTTCAATTTAAAACAAAGAGCAAACAGTCCTCAGTGAGAGACAGTATAGCATGTCCGAGACTGAAAGACGTATGAGAAGTTGTTATTTTTTATTGCTTACTAATTTGTAATAGACATTTCTTCGTAGTTATAAACGTATTACATATAGGTTGTCACTTGGGTATACTGTCTAATAATAAGTTACTAAATTGAGCTATCTAAAAATAAGTATGTTTCAGGAGTTGCTTTTATATTAGGAAGGAAAACTTTATCACTTTTTTTGTTTTCTTTTTTAAACGGATGCCAGAAACATTAGGAAGAAGCCAGGACATTAGTGTTTCTAAAGTTGTTGACCATCTGCTGCTGCTCCTGCCAAGGTTCTGCTTGGCTAAGGAACTTTGCGGGGCATGAAGCTCCTGTGTAAGGTCTATAAAAACATATAGGTCAGATCAAAATTTGAAATATATCTTTAATTGGGAAAAAAGGGACGTCTGTATTTGAAGCCCAATTTGAGCAGCCCCCACCTCTGAGCCGCAGCTTCCCCATCTGTAGAGTGAGGAAAACGGCCCTGCACCTTCTGCCCATCCCCCAAGGCTAATATGAGGATCACACAGAAATGTCAGGACTACAAGGAACTATGGTGGAAAAAGGTAGGGAGAGTGTTTCTTGTAAATCAGATTTTTCAACAGGCAATTTAAGAAAGAATATTTAAAATGAACACCCAACAGGACATTTTAATGTGAAAAGTAAATGTCCATATTCTCAAATAGCCTTTTAAAATTACAGCACTGTATTGAAGTCTCATTTGATTTTTAGAAGCATATCAAAATCTACACATTTTCATATGAATTTAATTCTCAGTTAAGTGATTTGACTATCGTTTGTGGCTCAAGCCAACCTTTCTGTTCAAATATGTAACCGACATTTTATAAAAATGTATAATTAACATTTGAACACAAGTAAAAGATGAGGTTCCAATATTACGACATCATAACAGTGAGTTGCTCTAGTTGATAAATGTTAATGCTACTAAACTGTAAATGCTTTGAAAACAATACTATTTTTTAACTTAAAATATATTCTAATGTGAAACACAATCCTGATGATTCAACTCTAGGTCCTGAGAAACTGTTTAGCACCTGTAATTCCTGAGCCTTTATTTGCATCCTTATATTTCTGATTTATGGATTCATGTATAATGAAATTCTTTACATTTTCAAAGGTTATGCTTTACTGTGGCTGCCCAGAGCAAAGCTGATAAAAACCTGTTGAATATTAGAACGAAAACTCATGGAATCCTATAGAGATTACATAGATTTACTTATTTGGAAAAAATATTTCAAGCTAAATCTAGTTATTTCATGCATCAGAAGAGTTAGAAAAGTTACACAAAGCAAACCAAAACTTTTACTGAATACTTAATTTTGTATGTACTATCTCCTTGACATCTTATAAAGGAAATTGTTATCAATTCACATTCATACTAACTATTACATATATACGGTTTGCCTGTAAATACATGCACATATGCACCGGATTTTTAGCATAATGATAAAAATAAAATACATACACTGGCTACATTCTCCTGGAATCTAGAAATATGTGAGAGGAAAAATTGATGAATCACTTTATACGAGCAAAACAAAAGCATGGGTTGCTTCAGCATGCCTCATGTATGGCACAGGAACAAAGAATCGTCTAGCAATTTGTGACCCTATAATTTTGCAGTCTTTTATAAGGAAATTAATATTGCAGTAAGAATGTTGCTGTAAATAAGTAGTTAATGTTTATATTTCTACAGAATAGAAAGCATATAACAATCTACCGTATAGATACACTTGAATGAAAGTCTCTGTTACATTATATTTAAGATGGTGTAAATAAATGATGGAACTCATAGAAGCAGGTTACATTGAATCACTCTAAACGGTTTACTGTGTACTCTGTAAAAACACTTATAAGAAATGTAAAACTAGATGAACCATACAACTACAGTGAGTTATTACCCTTCTGCCTCGCTTGTGTAGTTCACTTGTCATTGGGACTCTATTTCTAAAGCTGGCGCTTGGCTACTACAGTGGGACATTACAAACATTTTTTTTTTTTTTTTTTTTTTTTGCGGTACGCGGGCCTCTCACTGCTGTGGCCTCTCCCGTTGCGGAGCACAGGCTCCAGACGCACAGGCTCAGCGGCCATGGCTCACGGGCCCAGCCGCTCCGCGGCACGTGGGATCTTCCCGGACCGGGGCACGAACCCGTGTCCCCTGCATCGGCAGGTGGACTCTCAACCACTGCGCCACCAGGGAAGCCCCTACAAACATTTTGAAAATTTAAGATCAGAGGCTATAAATTCTTGTGAGGTTCTTAAAGTTAATTTTCTTGGCATTTAAGGAGCAAGCACACCAAATATACTGAAGTGAGTTAAACAACAATTTCCATTTTGGTTTTACGGTTTTAGATATTTTGTGCTCTGATTTTTATTTATTTTTTGAACGATACACTGTGAAGACGTTAACTGATGATGGCCATGTTCCTCTGTCAAATCTGTTTATGTATTTGCCTAGATTTTTAAAACATAATTTTTGCAGATCGATTCACCAAAAAGTATGTTTATTGCTCTTGTGGATGGAGGTCTACGATTAATTCACGTTTAGATATTTTAAAAGTGTGTATGTTACACAGCTGTCCATGGTGTGATTGGTCAGATTCAGCCTTCACTCACCCCCTGAAAAAAGAAAAAAAAAAAAGTCTTCTCAAAGTTCCTTTAAAGTAGACCCAATGAATATGAACTTAAAAAAAAAAAAAAAGGCATGTGTGTGTCTGTATAATAACATTATACCAGAACATGAATTCTAAGTAAATGAGCTTTCCTTCCATTCCCAAACCCAGTAGGGTAACTTGAAATGTGTAAGGGCAAAAGCCATGAGGTTTTAATAGGAGCTCTGTTTTATCTTCCTAAGCAGATTTTGCTGTGGATTTCCATCACCAGAATCACTTCAGTGTCTATAGCGTCATAAATCATCATCTCATCAGCTCACCCACATACACTCTTTGTGTAGCGTAAATGAGCTCCTTGACGACTTAATTTGGAAAAGAAATCTTCATTCCCTCTTCTGAACGCCTACGGCAAGACTACCCAGGGTTAGAATGCCGCTTTGCCCTGGAGCTCTCCTAACAGGATGGAAGCTACTTATTAATGAGCCATTCCAGTCTTGAGACCTGACTAGCATTGCCTTTAACTTGGACTAGTGTTTCTTCACATTCCAGGAATGCTGATTTCTTTTTTAAAATTCATTTTAGGTGGCAAAAAAAAATTCTTTGTGTTGAATGTTAGCATATATTGGAATGTGGAACTCTGGGTATTTTGCCTAAGTATCACTTTATTCATTTGAAAATACTTATATCAATC